GGGGTGTCTCTAAACCCCGTAAGGACAGAATTGCGCGGGTAGGAAGGGGGGTAACGCCGTGTCCCAACGGCCGGTCCGGGTTTAACGTTTGAAACAGTTGCGCGGCTCGGAAGACTAGTTCTTCAATTGTTACAAGGCCAAATCCCTTCAACCTGGGGTCAACACGGGACACCCAGGATGCTACCCTTAAGGCGCTGAGAACCGGCAAACAGGAATCCATGTTTCAGATTTTCCAGGGGTGAGGAGTGAGGAAACCGGTTGACTGGTTTTCTCTGGTGAGTCGTGCTACATGTTGCCTCAACTGGGTATTAAGAAGGCATGTACAAATATCAGGCATCTGCAATCTGGCAGCGGCGGAGCAGTATTCAGCAGCTTCGGGTCGCAAGGTGCGAGAAGTAAAGCAGATAACGAATCGCAGATTGCAGACGCATGATATTTGTTGTAGGTACTTCAGTACAAAATTTACGCCCAATCTTCTGCATAATCTTGGCATCAGACGCGCGAATCGCGGGCGCGCAGCAGCGCTTCCGGTCGCGATAGGCGTCCGGCAAAGCGGCAACTTCCGCAGACCGCTTAAGAATACTCTGGACGGTAGTGCGCTTTACTGCTTGGGGGGTCTTAAAGCGCTACGTTGCCCAACGAGCAAGTTCGGAGTGAGAGCATGCAGGATCTGACTTGTGCTTCACTGCTTTTGTGGGACATGTAGGAGGAAGGGCGATGTCCCATTGTCTTTGGCGGTAAAAATCAAAGTGTGTGTTTGTATGAAGACGTCCGATCCAAAATTTAAACTCAGATCGATGCGGCGTGTCACTCAGGAGGGGAAAACCGTTGAGGTTAATTGCTAGGGTGGTGATGGGCAAAGGTAGCTGCGCATCCGATTCGCGTAATCATAAAATCGGGCAGGGTATCGACTGATACCGGTGCCGAATTGGAGGTGCACGACTGTACTACATTCTTGTTTGTGCAAAAGTACAATCTTACACAAACTGAGCGTAGTTATACATCGTAAGTTCCGCAAAAAAGAAGCAGAAACAAGTAGAGACAGAAACACATTCTGAGCACCAGCTTTACACAGCTTGCAAAAAAAACATTACTCTTGTGTTATTTTATGTAAAATACGTATCGATTCGACTACTTGGCGAACGTAACTTTCACTAAGTATCTGTATCGCAGGAAATCTGCGTCACCAGGAGCTTCGTACATGTCGTAAATGTAGCTCTCGATAAATGCAAGCACCCAAATTCCGCAACTAGAACCGTCCATCTGCTGATTTTCGCGACTCACCACTCTCTTCCATCTTCTGCTATGTTTCAGAAGAGGGAGAAACGCCTTCTTCAAAATGTCTGTCACCTTGCGAAAGGACATTTCAGGTACAAAACCTGGTTAACGTAGGCAGCAGAGAGCATATGAATTGTCAATTTCTGCTTCGGTTAGAACTATTTCAAACGAGCATCCACAACTTGAGACAGAAGAAATAAAATAATTCAAGAAAATACGCGCACTAAGGGAAGGCTGCGCCTGACTCAGAGCTGCTTCAAAACGCGGGGTTTCCTCACTATGGCGTCAACTTCCTGTGCACTCACGCCGGGAATTCACGGAAAAAAAATGCAGTGAAGAGGCCTCGTCAAAACGTTAGGCCTCTTGGCTGCAAAGCAAAGGTAATTTGATTGCGTCAAAATGTTTTTAGTATTTTTAGTGCTTACGTTTATTTTGTTTTTAAATAAAAGTTGTCGCTCCTCCAGAAGATTGCTACTATCTCGTAGGTTTTCTGCATACTGCATCACACAGCCACATGGTTGGTAAAACAGAATACGAGAGTAATCGAATACGCCTCAACCCGGGGGACCTGGATGAAGTAAACAAGCTACGCAAAATCGGAGTTCCGACAAAGAAAAATCTTAAGTACATCTGGGACAACCCTGATTCAGAGCCGATGTTCACAATCTCCTGGCCAAGCTAAATCGCGAAGGCGATGCGGGAAGTACTGTCACGGATAGGGTGTGCGAGACCCTTACTCATTTCTGTGATGATGAGAATTACGGAGTTGATCATGTGGATATCGATCGGTTTCACGACCACGTGGGTGTTTCTTTCCCTTTTAGCCTTCACAATTAGAGGCATTCTAACTTTGGTTTTCAGATTGTTGCGCACTGTATTATCTTTCAGACAGACCACATGCGCGCTCTTTTCTCCTGTTTTCCCGAGGTTCCGCTTGTCGATGCAGCTCACGGTACCAACTCCGACCGATACAAGCTTTTTCTTTCATTTCCCACGACACTTTTGGACGGGGACAGCACATCCAGGTAAGCCGTCGGAGAACTCAATGCTTTCAGAGCAGTACATGTTAGCGGGGGTATTAAATTTCGTGGTCTCGTCATTGCGTGGATCCATAACGGTATAAGTACACGTCTGGATATTTATACATTGTGCGCAATAGTGATTTCCATTTATCAGCACTGCGCCCACGATCTTTCAGTTAGCTTTGCCAAGTTGATCGTGCCCCTGAAGCCACATAATCCTCTCCGTGTCGTCTTCCATTGCCATGAGCGGCGGCATGAAAGACATAACTTCACGCGAGCCAAGGCAATGCTCCATAATCGCGCAAATTGCAGCCACAGTGGATAAAATGCACACATCTTCAAGCTCTCTGTACATTGCAAAGCGTAGTAGCTCTAGTTCTTCGTCATCTTGTAGATTGGCATACCGTATGGAAGTGCATACGTCCTCTACTGGATACTCAGCGACATCAGCGAAAAGCGGGCCACAGTCTTCGGTATACGCACTGAGTCCACGCTATAGCTTTCTCTAGCCAGCTAAAAGTACTTCGCAACTAGAACCACGTCTCCATACTTCGTATGTAGCTCGCCGCCAATGATGGATACAAACTTTTTCGACCGATTTCAAACTTAAAGACTATCTCATTATCTCGCAGATGGACAATTGTAATCCGAGAGAGACACAGCTCAAACAATTTCAAGTTAGAAATAATTTAAAAATGACACAACTACTTACAGAACACAATATAAAATCTGATACAAACTGCAACAAAGTACCACAAACGGATACAAAATGCCACATTCCGTATACAGTCTACAGCAAACTGATACAATACGTAGAGTTTCAAATTCGGTGATCGATGCAAACGTTTTATCCAGTAGACGTGGACTGAAGTGCACGTGGCGAAGATTGAGGCTGGTGTGCGCTTGTGTTTGATTCGACAACGACAGCGTCGTCTTCGTCCACGTCGTCGTATGCGGATTCCTCAGATGCATCGTTGGGCCCGCGCTTCTGTCTGCCTGTACTGCGTTTCATTTTGCGTAGGATTTGGAACTGATTTACAGCCCCAGAAAAGCATTGGAATTAAACGTTCGTTTGGACGGCGTTATTTAACGCTGTATCCACGTGCTCTTCCTGGATAGCCGGAGTTGCGGACATAAAATAAGTTTATGTTCTGGATCTCTTTTTTGTGGTAATACATGTACATAAAATAAGTTTATGTTCTGGATCTCTTTTTTGTGGTAATACATGTATGTAGTCACTTTTAATATCATTAGTTTAGTGTACCCATTCCGTAATCAAGTTTTTTCAGAATTAATTACTTCGTTCCGTAGCACATAGCAGATAGTTTTTTTTTTCTAATAAAGGCGAGGCATAGGTGGGAACTGGGTACTTCTGCATTGCAGAGGAAGGTGTTTTGATACAGCGTTTGCTTCCACTGTAATTCCGGGGAAATGAGTGCCTGCTCAAACACTCGAGATACGTCCTCCAGGTTGTCAAGTATCTGCACCATTGGCGTCATCATGTCGCTTTGGGATATCACTCTCGTCAACCGGCAAGTCGAGTCATCCCACTCAAAACATGTCGATCCGTGCATAACATGCTGTTGGGTTAGAAGCTGCTCTGCTAGCTTACCGTTCCGGTCACTGTTGTCGATGGTGCGCAAGTGAGGAAACACGTTGCGCAGAGTGTTTGCCGTGACGGTCACGCGGGTGGTTGTGAGCGCAACGAGCGCTTCCCCTTCCAACATTTCCCACCCCTCGAGCTCCACGTTCACGTCGCCGAACCAGTCCATGAAGCACCAGTGCTGCATGATAGAGTCTGGACCGTATTCTGAGTTGAAAACGACATCAGGATTCATAATATCTCGTATAATACCGAGCTGATTGGTGGTGAGATGAAGTATTCGAGAGTCTCGATCTCATTCCGCAGATCTTGAAGGCTTGTTTTGAGGAGAATTGTGAAAAAGTCGGCTGGGCTCCTCAGATATCGGAGAATTGTGAAGTCGGTTGGGCTCCTCAGATATCACTTGTAGGTGACGCCTCCGTTTCTCACTCAGCTTAAGGATCTTTTCGGTCGCTGTATAGTTTGCTCTTAGTTTCGTGACTCGCGCATACGATGCCGCTGACTGAAGTTGCGGGCACTTAACACTGGAGCAAGCTGTAGTTTCAATTGCACTCGTCTTGTCGATGATCCAGCAAGCTTCGTCAATCGGTATCGGCAGATGATTATCAGCATCGACGATGCTATTTGCGAATTCTACAACTCCTGTAAAATCTTCATCTCTGTCAGTGGGTCGACCGGAATAAATGAAGTCCATGCAGCACTTGTGCTCCGCTCTCGGAAATTGAGAATGTCGTATCCTTAAGTCTTTGACGTTCAAGTCGAGTAGACCAGTGATGTGACTAATACTGTAATCACCAGCGGTTTGAAACCAGACACGTTGAAAACGGGGTGTACAAATCCTTATACTTGAGGGCTCTTTTGCAAATCACTGATGACACACTGACTCAGTGACTGAGTGTTCATTTCCGTTTGCTACGCTGCAAATTGCGGCCTCTTACTGCACTTACTGTAGGATAAGCCGGAGACCCGAACCCTCTTAGAAAGGTAATAACTGAGCGCACCAATGAGACTACAGAAATGAACCAAAATCCATGAATTTAGCCAATCTCATCGCACTAGGGCTAGGTGTTTAGCATTCCAACTTATTTCCGGAACTGTCCGGAATCATTGCGTCTTATCGAATAAAGGGCAATACAAATCTAGCACGTTAGGAGCACTTGCTGGATAATTGCACTTTGTGACGGACCGCTGTAGCGAGCATGGGAACCTGGGCTTCAGCGCCATCGTAGCATTACTAGTATGAAACTGCAGCTTGAAGGTTGTACACTTCCGTGTTTGACACCCCGCCGCTAATAGGCTACTTAATTACAGTGCAACTAAAATATTTTTCGTACAGCGTTTGATTGTCAATAGATATCTAAACATGTAAGGACAAGCATCCTAGTCAAACATTTAGTTTAGCTACTACATGTACATGCCAGCATTTGATTCAGCGACGCAACTTCACCGGACCCGAGCTCCCTCCGCAAACTCGTGCTTGATGTACTGATTGCCGATCGAGATCAGCACCATATCCATGGGCATCCTGAAGCTGGCACACGGCAGCGCGTCAGATGCGCCTCGTGCATGCCCGTGCCGAGCGGGCTATCTCACCGGTCGAACCCAACTCCACACCCATACTCGGACCAGCGCCGTGCAGACGCGTGAACGAGAACAGCGGCGCCTTGACGTCCACGTAGTTGATACAGGCGCGCAGGATGCCATTAGCCCGGGCCATTGCCTGGGTGTGGTGTTAGTACGTAGTAAACGAGCCCGTGACGTTAAGCGCCTGTGCGATGGTGCTACCTGCTTGATCGTGCCCACGTACACAGTTGCTGGACTGGGCGTCTCCAGAGCGTACGCGGGCGTGCTTGGCGTGTGGCGTAGATGGATATGGCGCCGTCCTTCGCCAAACTGTCGAACGTGATCTCCTTAGCATTCACGACGACCTTGGACACGGCGAGGGAGCGCGACATCTTGTCTGCGTTGCTGTTCAGGTAATCCTTCAGATGGCTCTCGTCCGAACCCACAAGCATACCAGCATCTGACAGCACGTAACAGGGAGGGACAAGAACCAGGTACTACACACACCTCTTGCACTAACTCCAGAGCCGAGATCAGATCCGTCACCTCCGTCCGGCTGGTCCACGTTCAGCGAGTCCAGCAGAACCGCGAATGCGCTGTAGCCCTTGCACTGGTCGATGCTCTCCGGCAGGATGTTAGCGCCTGACTTAGAGCGGATTGGCCAGGTTGCTCGGGTCTGGCCATCCACCACCACGATCATGTCTTCGAGGATCTCGAGGTCCCCGTTGTCCAGCACCCGTGCTCCAGGCTCACCTCCGCCTCCTGCTCTCGGGATGGTAACTGGCCACGGTGGACAGATCGCGCACGTACTCACACCGCACCAATCCAACTCTACCAACTTGCAAGAGATCCACCACGAATTCACATCGAACCGTCGCCCACACTACACCGCCACGCTGTAGGGCGCGCACCGAACATGTACACTATTGCCATCGATATCAACAGCATCTCGCCCTCCCATATACCCCACCCGAATCGCGATGGTTCGTTACCACCCGCTGCCGCTCCACACTCGCTCACCGCCGTCGTGCCGCTCGTCCTTCACGCTCGCTCGCCCACCACCAGTGCCACCGTCGCCGCCGCCTCCACGACCGCTCCCCACTCGCTCACCAGCTGTTCACTAGATTACGCACTGATGCCGTCGACTGTCCGGAATGAATAATCCTTCGTAGCTTGAATCGATTTGATTGCTTCAATTTCAATCAAATCGTTTGGCCACCATTCCGGATTCCGTCCGGAATCGGCCCCTTACGGAATCGGCCAATTACTGTACGAGTGCAATACTGTGAAAAATTGTGCATGTGGAGGCAATACGAAACCAGGTTATCTACTCAAAACTCACATACTGGCAGGCAAAACAGAGTGACGCATTGGCGCCACATCTTTTTGTATTGTATTGACGGAACACGAACTGTCACGGTCTCCGTTCGATACTGTGCCAACAATAAATACTGCGCCTTTCTGAGTCCTGAACCAGTGGTCATGTAGAGATACTTATGGCGGTGAATATTGCCGGCAATTATATCTATTTTAAAAAATAAGTATTATACATGTACTTCATCTCTGTCAATTGATTTCATTAACTCTTTCCTATCACCGTGTTGGTTTTTATAGTGCGACTACTGGTATTCACAATAGACATATACTCGCTGTGTAATACTACTTCTCGTACTGTAGTAGGAAAGTTACTTCATAACAACTCTTAGCCCCTTGGTTACCAACGTCGTAACTTACGACGTAGTGAAAACCTTAAGTCGTAAGTTACGACTTAACTGTCCAGATAAACAGGAAATGGCTCAGATGCGACGATCACATACTTTAATCAAGTCTGTTTCTCTGCAAAAAAATATAAGCTTGGAAAGGTAGTGGGCGACAGGGGAGAAAAAGGCTGTAGGTGGATTCACTGTCCCACTATCTCGGGACCGTACGTTTGGTGGACGGTGGATGTCCTCCACCAGTACAGAATTTGCGGACTCAAGCAAGATGCCGGTCAGAACAAGCAAGCGGACAAAAGCTCAAGCAGAGGCGCTCTCAGCAATCGACGTGCGAGATGTGGATTTTGGTCATCTATGGCGTCAGCTCGTGCGTGTTGGATGGACGTCAAAGAGGCCAACGCGGCTGTCCAATTTGCACTCGTACTACCCACGGAACGCTGCAAAGGAGCTACACATCGAGGGCGTGAACATGTTTGTCGGTAAGTCTGATGTGGTTAGTCTATTGTAAGTGTGTCTAATACGTGCTTTGTGCTGTGTATGCGAAGGAGAACATGCGGTAGTAAAGTATGCGTTTGAACAGGGCATCATTGGCGCTGACGAGGGAGGTGCAGGCGACGACAGAGACGACGAGAGTGAAGAAGGTGAGCCAGAAGTTCCTGCAGAGTGTGAGAAAGTAACATCCTCTTGAGATTGACACGAGTGTTGCTCTCTCAGCGAACACCGTTGAAGCATTGTTTGGATCCGAGAGCGAGGACAGCGAGACACCTGCAGAACTCCCGCTATGTGCCACAAGTCCGCACATAGAGGATGAGAGCTCAAGGGCGTCACAGATAGACACAAGTATTGCGCTTTCAGCAAACACCATAGACGAGATATTTTGTGGAGCTATGAGCGGTGATGAACCAGATGTAGCGCTGTCACTATGCTCCGGTCAAAATGGTGCTGTTGTCGAGCCTGTGACGCCAACAAACTCGAGACGAAACGATGAGCGAACAAACTCGAGAGAAGATCGTGGCTTGCTACAAGAGGACGTGAACATCATGAAGGACGAGGACAATGCAGACGAGTATGAGAGCATGGACCCGGAGTCGGATGGCTTTGGATCAGATGATGATAGTGATATTGTTCAAAGGCAAATTGGTGACGACGTGTCATCTGACGAAGAAGAGGCGCCTCTTATGGATGCAGCATTTATTGATTGCTTGGGGGGTTCTCTATCTATCGAAGACATGAACCAGATTACACTACGTTCGATGGCGTGGACTCCTGCATCCTCTGAGTATGAAACCGACAATAGCGCGTTCAAAGGTATGAAGAATCAAGCGGCTAGGCCTGTGGAAACACTTCGTGCTAAATGGATTCTCCATTGGAATTGCTATTCTATTTTATGCCGGTGAACCTGTGGACATTCATCACGAGCGACAAAACAGATACAAAAGGTCACACCTCGAGGAAAACGCGCGCCAAGAACGTGCACGTCTCGTTCGTGAAGGGCAGCGTACCAGGTCAAACGCTACGGGATGTTCGCCGCCGCATACGAGTCGAACCTGATTACGTACCGCGCGAGATTCTTTGTGTCATGGGTCTACTTGTAGCTCATATGCTCAGCCCTACCCGTCCGTTTTCAGATCACTGGGCTATGACCGATGATGGCGCGCTTTCGGCGGGACGGTTTGGCAATTTCATTTCTCGAAATCGCTGTACTTCTATCCTACGAGATCTACATTTCTGCAACAATGACACAGCTGACAAGAGAGACAAGTTGTGGAAACTGCGAGCTGTTGTTGACGTACTTCAAATGATATTCCTAGCTGCGTGGATAGTGGCTGCAATCATCTCTTTCGACGAAGGTGTACTTCCTCAAACGTCCAAGCGTAACAGTACCCGTATGTTTATGCCGGACAAGCCGCACCGTTATGGCACCAAGATGTTCATGACGTGCGACGCAGTGTCTGCTAACTGCCACAGGTGCGCATTTTTTTATAAGTGTTGCAAAGTCGTAAGTTTCGACTTGATGGTCTGACATTTGCATTATGTTGTCACTTACGACTTTAGATTCGAGATATATGTAGGGAAGCGTCAAAACCATGAAAGTGCAAGTCAGGCGTTTGACCACAAGACAGGAGCAGCCGCTGTAATTCGAAATTTGAAGGCTGTGTTGAATGAGAACGACCCCGGATTTCGTGTCATTGTTGTCGACAGATTCTACACCTCCGTTGCTCTCGCCATTCAACTACTTTCGATGTCGGTCTACAAGATTAGAACAATCATGACGTCAAGGCTGGGATTCGACAAGCACGTCGTTGGGCGAAGGAAAACACGACCAACCACAGTAGAGCGCGGGTCATTCACGTACTCAAGGTCGGTTGCGGTGCCCACCATGGTTGCATGCCACTGGTGGTACCGCAAGCCGGTGCACTACCTGGCCACTGGGGTGTCAATGGCCGAAGATACCATCAAGAGAAACCTGAAGACGGTGGGGCAGTCGACGTTCAGCTGTCCCAAACTGGTGACCGATTACCAGCGCTGGATGGGCGGAGTTGATGTGCATGATCAACTCCGCATTCAAACGTTCTCCGTCCAGACTTCTTTCAGGTTCCAAAAGTACTATAAGGGTCTATTCTTAGGTCTGTTTGACCTAGCGCTTGTTAACGCGTACATCACACACAAGGAGGCCTGTCGCCTCGACGGCGTCGCCCCAATGAAGCGCGTGGACTGGTACAAGTTGCTGCACAAGCAGCTCACGCAGCTCACGGACGAAGACTTCAAAACAGCAGCGCCATCACCGTCTCCAAGCGCGCCAAAGCGCCGCCGCAACGCTTCCCACGTACACAAGCAGCTTGATGATTGGGTGATTGTATCGGGCGTTCAGAAGCGGCGCCAGCGCTCTTGCAAGGTGTGCTCCCTCTATCGAGGTGAGCAGAAGAAAAGCTACCAGACTACTTACTACTGTGAAGACTGCTCGCAGGGTGATGCAAAGTGCTTCCTCTGTCCCAAGGCACGCAGAGGCACGGATACAACGTGTTTTCAAGTGTGGCACGACGACTTCGAATGTGGCGCAAGTCACCTAGGTAAGCGTGTCGATCTGCGCCGTGCCCCCGAGGCCGCCGGAGTGCGAAAGAAGACACGTCGAGAAATCTTGTCTGAGGAGAAAGAAGAGAGCTAGTGAGCCTCCCGTACGGTCTTTAGTAATGCTACTAATGCATTTTGTTGAGTTTCATATGATTGCTGTGCTGTGTAGTTCCGGTTATAACTGTGTTTGTGGATTGTGATCCCGATCACATGATCGGCAAAGTTGTATCTGTGTACTTGTTAGTCAGCGATGCTGAAGTACGTCGTCAGTGTTACGACGTAAAAATCGGAAACCTCTGTATAACTTATAGTCCCATCTTAATGATCAGCCAAGTGGAAAAGACAGACTAATACAAACTCCTAGATAATTGTGTGCTGTAAGTTACGACGTAAAATAAGGCGGTTCGTGGCCTGAATTCGCGGTAATAAAGGGGTTAAGGCGACAAACCTGCCCTCGAAAACGAGATCAGTCGTGACATGACCGTCGCAGTCGAACTGAGGCGATAGACACATTGTACCGAGGGAAAAAAGAAATTGATTCCTTGATGTTTTTCGGTATCGATAAGGATAAGTAATATTATTAATACACCGATGCAAGTGCAGTGAAATATTTATTTATATGCCCAAGCGTCGGACCTGCATTTCCGCTCAGAATCACCACTATTTGGGGGAAATGTGTGTTGACTTAATTTCGCTGAATTTTCTTGCGTTAAAGTAGAAGTACTTGGTAAGTTTGCAGCATTTACTGTTTTTAAAACGTAACCTATTACCAGCAAGGCTTTAGCTACAGATATACACTACCAACTAGCATCGAGTGAGCACTTATATAGTATAATATGCTCTGAAAAATGGCAGAAAAAAGGCATTTTAGATAGCTGACTTGACTTTTGATGACGATTTTGCATGAATTCTTAAAGAGATTTAGTGGTTCTCACGGTGATTTTGCAGGACATTATACAAATGTGCTCAGATAGACGGCCACAGTCATGAGGCGTTTCTTGATGAGTCGCAACTAGTGAATGATTGGCTGGTTTTCAAAAGCGTGACAAGCCTAGAATCAAACTGTCGCCCTGCAGACTTTGGAGAACTCACCAGAACATACATTACAGCTAATCACCAATTCAGATATTCGATGCTAACTCTTCATATCGTAAATGATCGGATGACAATAACTCAAAGCAGGGGCGAAATTAAGCATTTACCGACTGGTTAGGATCATAAGTACATTTGGATACGCTTTCTGGTCTGCTCAATATTTTTAGAACCATGAAAGTGAAAGCGAATTTGCGCTCGTTATGACGCAGCAATAGTACTAATAATCTTCAATCAATAAAACTACTATGTGTGTTGTTTGGAAGTCTACTACAGTCTGTAATCTACGAAGAGAGGCAACCAATCGTCCATAGCACTTCAACTTGAGCGCAAGAGCCGGATTGTTGGGTACAAACAGCACGTCTTCCTGTTTATCAACATTATTTTTACAGGATCTTGACACGCCGCAGTTAAAAATCGAATTTCTCGGTGGGTGGCGCTCCAGTGGACTGTCCACTCGAGCATCGGCTCCGCAACGGAGCCTTCGCCAACCCCTCCATCAGTTGGCGCAGCTCGCTGCTTTCATCGCGAGTTCTCGGCCCTCTTCGAGCAGCTGGTGGCAACGCAGCCGCTGCCTTTCGTACTTGTCCTTGTTCTTCGTCCGAGGAGGACAAGTACGCGTTAAAGGTCGGATTTGCTTCTTCCCCGTCGTCTTTCTCGCTCGGAACCACATCCGGTCTCGTTTCTTCTATAGTTTCAATAGGACGTTGGTCTAGACTACGCCGTTGGACGCGCTGGAATCGATCTTCAGGGTCGAAGACATAGATTGTGGTACCTTGTACCGGTGTCGGTGCTGCAGTAGCAGAAGGCCGCATGGACGTGTAGAGTGGGAGGGACGGTGGGGTAGCTGGACGAGGCGGTGGTGGCGCTCTCTTTGACTGGCCTGCATACGAATTCCGAGAAGGTAGCGGAGGTGTTGTAGGCGGTGAAGAGGACGATGCCGTGACACCAGAGCGTCGACGCGGAGGCGCATGTGTAAGTTCGCTCGAGTTCATGACGCCCCGTAGACTAGCTACAAGATCCGAGGGGACTCGAGAGGGCTCGGAAAGACGTCCGCTTGTGTTGAGACTCTGGAAAGGGGAAGACGTGATCGCTTCCGGAGCGATCGCCACGTGCTTCTCCTTCGAAGGTTTGCCAGGACGCTTTAACACCGGTAGAGGCTCAGACGACTGTCGTCGATGCAGTGTCGGTTGCTGTTCCGCTTCAGGTTCATCGTGGCCTCTTTCATCTCGTTCATCCGGCACATCAAGTACGTTCTCGGTAACAGGAGCGACTGCACCCGGTGTGCCCGTGCTGGAGGTCTCGGATTCCCGTTGTGAAGCCTCGAGACGTTGGTGAAGACGCCCAATCTTCATCGCAAGTCGCTCGATGCCTCGGTTCGTACTTACACTCACCACTGGCGTCGGTATCGCTCCCGACGGCGTAGGTTCTGGCTCAACTTGCTGTATCGAATCCCCAGTCTTAGTAGACGTCACTACTGGCGACGCTAGACGCGTCGAGTGCAGGTTGGCGATAAGTTCGGATTCTCGAACCCACCGCATCGCCTCTTCCAGTGCACGTGCTTCTTCCACAGCGCTGGCGTGTTGGGACGGCAGAGGTTCTCCCGCTTCTTGATGGTCCAGAGACTGCATAGATGTCGACAATAACGACGAGCGAGGCGAGTGGAAGTCGATACTGTCACTTGCCTGAGTGCTGGGGTGCTCGCTGTCTGCTCCTTCAATGAAACTGAAGGCGAGCTCGCTGTCCAGACGGTCGGAAATGGTATCAGACGGACGTACAGGATCGTTCTGACCGATGGACGCCAACACAGCATCAAAGTCCGAGCTGGACATGTCCAAGGTGTCTCGAATTTTCATAATACGGTCGTAGATCTCGTCGTATCGTTCCGCGCCGACGTCTGGATCTCCACGTCCACTTTCCAGCATCATACTATGCCGTTCCTCTTCTTCCTCAGCCTCCGAGATGGCTACATTGATGGTATCACGGATCTGTCGAACATGCTCCACTAGTTTATCTAGAGCTTCTCTCTTGGACTGAGCTGACATGGCAGAGGACGAGAGTGTCGAGTGACGTAAGACACTGGCTCGTCGCTCCTTTCTCGCTGTCTCAGACGCTGGACGTTGGTACTGTTCACTACCATCCGAATCATAGTCGTATCCATGGCGATGTCGTTGTCGGAAAGGGGGTAATGGCGAGCGTACGTGTGATGACGAGCCTCGAATTGACTCTTCTATGCCTCCTCTTCGCAGCCCACGGTGTTTCGGATACCGTAGTCCGCCTATATAAGTATCCGTACCAACATTTGTCGTAGTTGTCGTAGTTTCGAGAAACCCATCTTCACTCTCCGTAACACCAGACATACTTTCGCGATGGCTACCTGCTTGTGCCATACACACAGAACACACTCGCATAGCATGGGTATGTTCGTCCAAAGGCTCCTCCAGCTCACGTAGCGGCGCACAATTGGAGCACACAACTTCGCCACAGGTGGCGCAATGGTGTTTTCTATGGAAATAAAACCCACGCAGACAAACTGCGCAGGCTTTACGCTCCTTAGAAGACACCCAGTCCCATTCGTCCAGATACTGTAGTCTCCCCATCCGTTGTCGCTCCAATAACCCTTTAACACGATGTACAGACGCGACATAGTCGACCATGATCTCCTCCATTGTCGTCCTTACAGCGGTAGGGGTCATAGCGCCATCCACTTGTGCCATTGCAGTGACCTTGAGGATGTTAGACTGGTGTGTCTTAGTGATCAAGATGCCTGTACGGATAAATTGTCCTCGTAGAATATCGTATCTCTCCAGTGTGGGCACTTCTCGGTCTCTGGAAATAGATTCCTGTACACAGAAGCCAACGACGCTACTGGCTGCTGTGTGAGCTTTCCTCTTGCCTGCGTATTCCAAGTAGCAAAAGTCCAGACTCTTCTGTCCTTCTCGTCGATTAGCTTTAAGAAGACCCCACTTGATGGCTCTGTACGAATAGCTGGGTTTCTTGTGCTCTGATGACGTAGGAAACGTCAGCAGGGTCTGCGTGTCGACGAATTCGTCGCCATGCAGATAACTTAACGTTCGTCGCGCATCTCGGGTCTTAACTTTGGCAATGGCTTGTAGGATCTCATCCGGTTGGACGTCCACAATGTGGACACTGGACTTGTAGATAGTGGACGGCTGTTGCGATGCCGGTTGCTTCGTACTCGGTCGGATGTCCAGGAACTGCGCCTTCTGGACTCCGCGCCCATTGCGCGCCTTGATGTCCGTCCAGCGGTAGACGCAGTCGGCGTCGTCGATGATACGCACGAGCTGCGCCACACGCTCCTTACCGAAGCGTCGATAGTGCATGAGCTCGTCCACCGTCAGCACCATCTGCGGGAAGAAACCCGCGCACAGCGGGTACGGCAGCTCCGTCGCCATGGCGGACAATTCCAGACTGGGCACCTACGAAGTGACGGCTTGTATGGGTTTTTTGTACACTTTACACCAAATAAACACAGCACTATTTAATAGCGGTAACTGACTCTTCAACCGACTTATTGATCCCGAGTGTTATGGCGGTGAAAGGCCTGAGCTGGCAGAGGGTTTGGAGCTGACAGGCTCTGGTGACCGACTCTGGAACAAGTACGACACGCATAGAGCTCTCAGCGAGGAGAAGGAACCTTCGAGTAGTGTTCTGAAACGGGGTAGCAGCGGTAATTTCTTAATGGCTTGGCAGATCTGTGCGGCTTTATCGACGTTTTGCATTCGCATTGATATCGTGTTTTGCTATCCCCAGTGACGTAAGAAATACTCAGTTGCCTTTTAAAGTGTTGGCGAGATTAGCTGTAAGACCCGATGTGAAAAGGTATCTTATCCTTGGAGGTGGGCTTTTCTGCCTTGCGATATTTCGCTGCTGCTCTCCAAATACCGGTACAGTACTGCACCCCATTTTCGCGGGGGTGGACCATATACGATTTGCAAATCAATCAGAGTTTAGCTGACAAACAAAAGTTCATTTGGATTCAGGAGCATCACATCCGGAAGTTTACCAAAGGTCCAAGGGCGCGAAAACGGGGTGCAGTACTGTATCTTCAGGGCGCCAGCGACATAGATATTTCGTACTCACGTGATATTTGTATCCTCTTTATTCGACAATGTAGATACCGTGTAAAGTATTTTTTTTCTCTAATTTGCATGTTCTCTTTGAATGAGGTTATCGCGTTCTATTCTACACGCTGCTACCGGCGGGAGCGCGGCACTCGGGACAGCTTTGGTTATGACGCAGCCACGACATGATGCAGTTCTCGTGGTAGACGTGGGCACAGGGCAACTTAACAGAGAAGTTCCTGCTGGTAGGTACTACCGTATCTCCAGTGCCGCTGCAATTGCTGATACCGCCGGAACTACCGTCACGGTCGCATCCGATACTGTTGTTACAGTCTTGGTCGCTTTCTGGGAGTTCGACCCCCTTCACTTCAGTCGAGACGAGCTGCTCGAGACAAATACTGCAGGCATGCTCTGACTGCGTCGGTAGTAAATCTTCGACGTCTTCGAGACTTAGAATGGCGTTAGCGTACGTGCAGTTGGCGTCCAGCACGTTGTTAGGGAGAGATAGGAAGTCACGCATTAGCAAGTAGATACACAGCACCTCACGACCCAATGGTGCTGGAAGATACGGCTCCACTACAAGAGCTGGGACAATTACCTCGAGTGCTCTCCAGCAGTCTGACAAAAAGCCCTCGAGCTGCACTGTACTTGTTTTCATAGTGTTGGCATCTGCTTGGATGGAGAAGGCCGTATATTGTAGATGTTGGTACCGTTGGAATACCTCGGCGAGGATTCGTAGAAACACGTCGAAGGGTTTCCATTCGACGACAACGTCTTGATCTTGCTGGATATATGCGGGTGCGGTGAGGTGTTGTATCACATTTGGATGGTGCAGGATGGAGTTCACGTGGTCGTAAAACCCACAAAATTTGTTCTGGCTCATTGCAATCACCCATGATGATTGTGTCGTGTGTCCGCCATTGGAAGCAGCAAATGTCGTCAAGCCGTTTGTGCCCCTCGATATGCAGGTGCTCGTGATGGTCATGGAGAGAGAAACCCGGTAGACGACCGACATACCCACACAGAGCAAGCGTGCTTGCGCCAGGAAGCCGAAGCTGGACGGCTGGAACTCCTCACTCATCTTTCGCAGTCGTCGTTGCACGGGGGTGCTGTGGGCGTTGATAGTAGCGGCGTGTACTAGTTTGACGCGTTTAGTCTCGCGTTCCTCTTCCATGATCCTCTTTGTCATTGCTCCCGAACCGGTAAAATGCAAAATGACGACGAAAAGCGAGCGGGCTCCGAGACTTGAGGTTGTTTGTGGTGTTGAGCAACAAACTGAACCGAAACCCGGACTTTTGCCGTGTCCGACGGGCCTATGGATTGGCCCTCCATGGAAGTATGGAAACTTCCTACATTTTTTGGCGTTGGAAATGATGGGCTACGTGAGCTGGGCACATGGACTCTTCTGTTGCCCGACTACAACAAGATACGTACTTGCAGCGGAAGAATGCGGCCACTGAGATTCATTAGTACAGGGTGGATTTGAGTGGTTCGAGCGGCGAAAAATGTCTATCCTCCGCTGTTGGGTGGTACTACTATTTGTGCTTTTTTCGTCTGTTCAACGCGCGTGCTTCGCCTCGAAGCCTTTGGTCAGTAGGCTTGGCAGACCGAGCTTTAGTTAAATACATGTACTTCGAAGCACATGTATCATTTTCTAGGATGTCGCACGGTTCTGACCCCTCGACAAGCTAATACAACGGCTCCTTCCACGCTCTTTAGACTTTGATTGCAGCCCCACGGGGTGAACCAGCTCCTATTTTTGCATTCACTATTATAGCCTGCTGACTAGGGCAAATCTGATAACGGGAGTTGTATTCGCTTACGTAATGGGTTGGTAGCGCCACGTAGCGTTTGGCCGAAATGCCTTTCTCGAACTTGGGCGATAGGGAATAATGGTACAAGGTGATTTCTATGGAACAAGCCTTCCGCTCTGGCGAGTGCGCATTCAGCGATTTCAGCGTCAAGTCGACCGAACGAATACGTTTGTGCTTCATTGCAGAAACCGCCGTTTCAATATGGAGTGCGACGCCACGCAGTACTTGTCTCCAGGATCGCGTTCCAGCTAGGGCTCAGCTCGCCGAATTATTAGAGACCACTCTCCGTGCGCAGCGAGATTTAAAATGAGGTTTTGCCGCACGGACGCTTGGTCCATCTCGTTAATTTCTTGATTTGAACTCCTAATAGGACTCAGTCAAAACGTTTGCGCGGTGAGATTTCCACCTGAAAACGTGAAGTCCTTTATTCTGAGTTAGCAACTATAAATTCCGTCGGTTTACGGTACTGTAGTACCTCGAAGTACATGTATTGTGCTTGGCAGGAGTTTTGGCAAAACGCGCCTGAATGCGGTGCCTTTAACCCCTTAGTTCCCGGCCTCAAATATGAGGGTATATTTTGACCTCGTCCCATATACAGATATAAAGGAATTTGTATGGGGTTTCAATTAAGTCCGGATATCTTGGCGCGGGATCGGGGTGGTAACAACGACTTGCCAGTGTGTATAGTACGGATTCTCCAACATAAAGGAGGGTTTATGTAGTACATTGAGACGATCATATACAACTATGCTGTATAAATAAACATAAGGAATGTACTGTTTATTGATTAGCCTATCTTTGTGCTGTTGCATACGTCCAGCAGCGGTGAGTTCATTTATTATAGCCAATAACAAGAAAGATCAAGTGCCGTATCAATTGATTGCTCCTTGCATAGACATGTACGACCAGACGGCGCAACCACTACGCCTCCTCCTCCACCGCTTCATCATCTTCTTCGCTCGACTCCCCAGCACCAGCACCAGCACTTGCTCCGCTCTCGCCTACCTGCTGTCTGCGTCTCCGCTTCTTGCCTGGACGCTCCGCTGGCGCTCGGTCGCGTATCTTGTGGTCGCGTAGCAAGCGGCTCGGGATGTCATTCCCGTTCTTCCAGTCGAGGTGCCATATCTGAAAGCACGTGCGCTCCCTTTCCTCCCTAACAACGTTGCAGAGATACTTCCTGCGGCACAACCTACAGTCAGCGCTATCACCGTGTTAGTATCAAGCATGAACAGCATGTACGTACCTCTTTGGCCCTGCAGAGCATTCTGGACAGTAATACTTCGTATACTTCCGCGGCACCACCTTGTAGATAGCACACACTTTGCAGGTTCTGTGGCGACGCTTCTTTCCGGTTTCAGTGTCGGCCTTGTCTGGGTTCTCCGCCAGTTCGTGGCCATCATCAATGCGGTCTGAGCCACGTCGCTGCTCCTCCCGTCTTGGCGACGCTCCTCGTGCAGGTGAAGCGGCTGTACGCTCCTCAGCGGAGGTGGATTTCTAGAATAGGAAACATAACCAACATAACACATATTAGTAGATGCATTTATGTTGCCAAACCCATCATAGCAACTTACCTCAATCTCAGCGAAAGAGTTTTCATCAACAGCAAGTAGTTGTTCCATGAGTGTCTCAAAGAATGCGGAATGCTTCGGGGATTTGTGCCCATTGGCACGCTGGTTGTGTCGATACACAATAAAGGCGTTCACCAACGCCATGTCCAGCAATCCGAGAAACAAGGTCTTGTAGTACTTTCGTGATTTGTACGAAAGCTGCACGCTGTAGCGTTGCATCCGGAGCTGGTCGTGCACATCAACACCTCCCATGTATCGGTGATAGTCACGAACCAGCTCCGGTGCCGGTAGCTCTTTCATCTGGCCTTTGATACGCCACACTACAATAAAAAAGCACAATAGTGAGCAATGATACATATATATAAACACACAGGCTTACTTACTGACACTGACTGTTTCTCTGCTGCCACCACTGCTCAGCATGTGGACGGGATTGCGGTCCATCCACATTGCTGCGGTTATCTGCGGAAAAAGCTTATTTTCAGCCAGCTTGATTGTCCCCTGTGGTGGTACTAGCTCTCTCACACCATTCACGGTTCTGTAAGACTTGTCAGTCTTCACATCCTTCGCGTACCCTGCCATACGCGTCTGGATCGTACCCGTAATGTACATCCGTCGCTGCAACAGCTCCAACGCCAGCTTCACCGACGTGTAAAACCGGTCTGTGATTACCAAACGCCATGGGGAGGTCGGTGATGGCGGGCACAGCGCGTTCATGTTCCTTAGTACGGCAGCCTCGCCGCAATTATTATCAGCAGGAATCGGAGTCCGGAGATTACTCTTAGCACCACAGTACACCTCGAATCTGAACAGTCGCACAAACGCACACGATATTAGTAAAAGTAATAAATATGTTGGATTAGGAAATTCTCCACAATGTGGATGTTTGCCCGTCCAACATAAGCACTTAGACCAAAAAAAAAAGTGGCAAGCATTAGCTTGCCACCTTGAACGCACCTCATGCAATAAGCTGTATCTGCACACGCTGCCACGAACACCTTGGTCCCCCACTTGTACGGTTTGTCCTTGTTGAACTGTCTGGTAGGATTGTAGCGGGATCTTGAAGGCAGCGTAGCTTCGTCAAAGCTAATGACAGGAGGAATCTTGTAGCCGCGCGCAAATGTACGCTGTAAAACCTCGATAACCGGCCGAATCTTCCATACACGATCCGTGCTAGCTTGAGGCGACTTGTTGTTGGAGAAGTGCAAGTATCCCATTATGTGGAAGAACCGGTTGCGGGACATGTACTTGCCGAAGCGTGGCGTTGGCAACGCACCAGCCGGTGTCAACTCCCAGTGAGCAGCAATCCCCTTTCGCACTGGAGACAGCATCCTTGCAATGAGAAGCGCGATGACGCGCAAAACCTCCCACGGTTCTATCGGCTTCACACGTGTTAGTCGCCGACGAATATCTGCGAGGTTCTCTACTTCTCCACCACCACGACGCTGCTTCGCTTGAATCGCCTGCGCACGACCCGGTATCGACTGCGTGTGGTAGCGATTGCTCTCGACGGCAATCTGTCTCCACAATTTTGGCGGTAGGTAGTAGAAGAACAGCGCCAGTGGGTCTTCAGCCACTCCAAGGACGCTCTCAGATGGTCCATAAGGCCCGTCGTAAAGGTCTTCATACGTAGGATTGTCTCCAAATTTGGACTGGTCTACAAATAGCACATCAAAGTGAGTTAGATAATGTTAACATTATGTTGGACAACGACGGAATAATAGTTGCGTATGTTGGATAGTGTTCAACATAACTTACCATACTCCCAGCCAGAATGTTTCATCTCCGCCAAACGCGCCGCATTCATCGCCACCGACTTGCAGAACGTGTCCGGTAGCTCAGTTCCAACGCAATCGACTAACTCCTCATCAGAGAGTTCTCCAAGCTCCCAATCTCCTTCCCACTCACTGTCCGCGTCGTCATCGTCTGAATCAGGACCAGATTCCTCTTCTGATCCGAGGCCAGTGCACTCACGTGCACCAGCCGCCATGATGTTAGGATCACCGTCGACTACGCAGGCGACAGGGAGATGCGGGGCAGCTGACGCAGCACCGGTGTCTGTGGTGTCACTTATGGTGCCTTCATCTTGAGCTTCGCGTTCTAAACTGTCTTGTAGGACGCGGCGGCGTCGTTTCGGGGATCTTTGCGTAACCGGCGCCTGCTTGTTCGTCCGAGGGGGGCGCAAGGTCTCCACAGCGCCTTGAGCATCTCGCACAGGCGTTAGAAGCGCACTTGAAGCCACAGCTGAAGCCACAGCCATCACCACGTCTGCTACAACTTCCTCCACCTCTGGTTCCACAGAATCTTCCTCATTTTCTGCAACAGGTATTACCTCTTTAGCTTCGTCCGTACTCGCTGTTGCTTCTGTCTCTTTGGGTGCTGCCGGCTCAATATGTGGACCTCTAGACTCTGCTATCTCCATGGCTGTCGTCGTAAGTTTCATCGCCCTCTTCCTAGACTGCTTCTTCAACGCACGCCCCTCAGCGCCATGCTTTGGCTCTGCTGCTGACTGCCTCTCGTCGTCTCGACGAAGGCGACGCTTGTGGCGGTCACTGAGGGCTGCCTTGCACAACCGGGTCTCTTCCGCTGTCAGCGTCCGTCGTGGCATCTTGCCAGACGTCGCCACCATTCTGGTCTGCTGCCCCCGCGGTCGTTTTGAAGAATGAGAGAGTTTTGTGGCTGTCGGCCACCCGTTGGTGGTGGGTGACACCGCCTCTCTTTATCTCGTTCAATCAGGAATCCGGTCCAGCTACCCTAAGCCTGTGATTCCGGCCGTTTTAGGCTCCCACTTTTGTCTTGACTTCAGT